GTAATACAGAGCTAACTGCAAATATTTGTTGCAAACCTGACCAACATCCCTCTATTAAGGTTCTGTTTGCTTCCTCTTGAACCGCAGATTTTTTACATCTTGTGTCATTAAATAATTTATCAGCCTCATCAGAGAGTGTAAATGAAAATAGTGTATTCTGATCTTGCGTCATTATTTCGCGATGCTTGGAACTTTCAGTGAGTTTTGGATGATTGGCATAAAATTCTGAATACAAATGCAGTTCGCATGCTGTTGCTACTCGTAACGTTTTGCTTAGGGATTCATCACCTGAAAAGAAGATATATATGCCGATATAGAGCATGAATATGTTTAACATAATACTGATCGATTGATTGATTGATTGTATATTGTTTAACGTCCCTCTTGAGAATTTTTCACTCATATGGAGACGTCACCGTATGCCGGTGAAGGGCTTCAAATTTAGACCTATACTCGGCACTCAGGGCCATTGAGCAGTGAGGGTTCTTTATCGTGCCAGCGCCTACCGTGACATGGGACCTACGTTTTTAAGGTCATATCCGAAAGACCCATGACTTTCACTTCTAGTGCCGAGCGCTTGGCGAAGGAACAGTCACTACCTTTGTTTACGTCTTAGAGTATGACGCGGCGCCACGAACGAGAATCGAACCCGGGCCTCCCGATTAATACTGATCGAATAAAATCATCAAAACTATTTGATAAATTATACCATAATGATAATTATTTTAAACAATTTTATTACTAAATAATAAATCGTTAAAGACTAGTCTCAAAGGATATGCGAGCTCTTAATATAAAGGGGAAATTAAAAAAATATTATTTATTATATACACATGATAATTTCAATTTTTGTTGCTATTTGTAATACTTGTAACCGATACTTGAATCAATCATTTAAAAATAAAATTGTTAATAACATATTAATGAAAAATATTTGAACAAACTTCTGGTCTTTCAATTTCAAGTTATCTGCCCGACGCAAAAGTTCAGATATCTAAATTTTGTTGCATGTATCAAAAGCTTTACACATTTTTTTAAGATGCAATAATTGTTAACAGATATCGATATATCAGAGAATATCTAGATTTCATTGAAGAAAACGAGTCTAAGAGAAATATGTATTGATTCATTACCTGTCAACGCAAGTGAAATTGCATTAAAAAGGCAATTCCCGTTCCCAGTTGTCTTAATGGGGTCAAGCACACCATCCTCCCCTAGTATTTCCTTAATATCCCCAGGCAGCAGTGCACGGGCCAGGTTGTCCTCATCAAGTTTTTTTCGAGTTTCTTTAGAAGAGTTTGAGAGTTTACTCTCAATTTCCTTCAATGAACTTTCATAGATCGAATGGTTCATTTTTAAGTTAAACTTCGGAAAATATTATAAATTGAGTTAACTGAACTCACTATACACAATTACGGCTGAATAGAGAGGTGTAGTTAATACAAAAGGGAAAACCCATACAATCATTAATTTACAGGAGTGAAATTAGGGAGAGCTAAATGTAACATTTAAGAAACACATCACTGAGATCTAAGTCATAAATTTGATAACCCGCATGGGTAAATGGCATTAATTGATATCCTGATACACGTTACAGGAAAGAACTGTCAACAGTTAGAAACTAACAACACATTCTATAATGAAATGAAACAACTGAACCCCAGCCATATGTAGTGTATATTTCATTCACGACTTTGAATCCAACATTTTTAGCACACAAAGTGTCTAATTTTATCTCATTTTTTCATAATTAGTTCTTCTTTTTTTTCTTTGTGATCACAAAAGGGGGGGGGGGGCCCGGGCCACTGGAAGAGGTAATTATTTTGAAAACATAGCTTAACATTGAAACTATTTATCTATGATAATAAAAGACAGCTGCATTTGCTTTTGATTTGCAGAGCCAGATGTTAATGATTGAAATTGGGTCAGTAGTATTTTGAATTACATAAATTACTTTCTAGTGTTCTTCTTTTTCCAGAAAATGATTTACATCTAAATCCTTATCACATTTGGAAAATTAATTGAATGATGAAATGGTCATAATAGGAGTAGAAAAGATCTTGCAATATTAAGAGTTGACCAGCAGCATAGCTTTCCATAAATGGAATGCCAGTGAACTGCAGCCATTGGAAGATTGCATCAGGAAGAAGATGACTGTTTGCAATGCCAGTTATAGGACATTCAAACTTCTTTTTGTGAATATTTCAATCTATGAAAATGTGATTGGGGAATGTGATGTGAAGCGTGAATGACGGAATTGCTTGTGATTTGCATCTTTTATGCCAATTTAGGAGTAAAGAAAATGACAGGATTAATCGACATGATTCTCAAAACTGTGTTTCACTGTGATTGTTGGAGTGTTTCAACTGTTATTCATATAAAAGTCAGCCTTGGATGTTTAAATGCTGTGAAACGGTTAAAAATATTCTAACATGTAACTATGATTTAAAATAGTAAATTGAAGATTATGATTTTTAAAATTTTAACGACAATCCTTTATTTGAATCTTATTCACATTTTATCACACTGAAAAAAATATTAAGAAAATAAAAATAATGTATGCTAAGCTTAATTTGTCTAATCTTTTTTATACATGTTATATGTAGTTAAAAATATTTGTACTAATTAAAAGTTTATTGTACATTTATATTCATGCTATAGTTGTAGCTCCCATAGCTATAATATAATATTTAATTCAAATCTATTTAAAGCAGGCGTATTTTTTGTACAGGCGTATTTTTTTGTACGGGCGTATTTTTTTATACGGGCGTATTTATTTTGCAGGCGTATTTTTAGGGGTATGCTTGAAATCTAGGCGTAATTCTATTTTTAAAATTTCCAGGCGTATTTTGAATTTCCAGGCGTACTCATTTGCATATTTCGGCCAAAAATACGGGAGGATTACGCCTCGTGTACGCCCGTATTTTACATTATACGCCTGGTTTTATATATTCATTTCAATAGAGATTTCGACAAGGATTTTTTAGAATTAAAATACGCCTGGATTTGTTTAAAAATACGTGACTTAAATTTCGTACGGGTAATCTTACCATGAACCGCTGGGACAGAAAAGCTGAATATTATGTGGAAACACCTGGGGAAGGGTAGATTCTAAATTGTTCAAATTATGACCCCTGGGGGTAGGATGGGGCCACAATAGGGAACCCAACTTTTACATTGAAACAAACTCTGTATATATTAAGAAAATTCTTTAAAAAAAATATTATTCTAGGGAATTACTGGGCAAGCAAAGCTGAAATTTATGCGAAATCCTTGTGGGATAGTGTAGATTTAAAATTGTCCAAATTATGACCCTGGGGTAGGTAATATGGGATCACAAAAGGTATAACAAAGGGGTAAATTTTGTAAAGAACTGCAAACATGGCCAAAGCTTTTCATGTAAGCGATGTGGCCCATAAGCCTCTTATAGTATTTATGTTCCCCAAACGAAGTTGGGGAACATATTGTTTTTACTCTGTTTCTTATTATTATTATTATTATTATTATTATTATTATTCCTGGGAAAATTTTGTCCTCGAGTGATCTTGTAAACTATACATCCGACTTAGGTGAAACCTTTTTAGGGTCAGTAGGCATGTTATGTAGAGTTGCCAAACAAAGGTCATTTTGCGCGCACGTGCTTGCAAGAGCGAGCACGTGCAACACATGAAATGACCAATATAATGTATACTGCCGTAACTTTTCTATTTTTTGATGAAATGTTTTGAAACTCATAATGTAAGGATATATTAGTAGTATAAACAAGATGGCATAGTCAATATGGCAAGATCTCACGCGCATGCACGTGCGCTTCGCTCTGATTGGCTGAAACTAAAGTCTCTATATCTTTCTTGTTTCTCGTCATAATCATTTGAAATTTTGAACTTAGTCACATATTATGAAGATCTACGGCATGATATATCAGAATTTTCATGAAAGCACTTACATGCACGTGTGCTTGCAAGAGCGCGCACGTGCAACACTTGAAATGACCGGTTTAATTGATATAGGCGTAACTTTTTACATTTTTGATGAAATGCTTTGAAACTCGTAATATAAGGATATATTTGTGGCATAGACAATATGACATGGTCAAAATAGCAAGATCTCACGCGCATGCACGTGCGCTTCGCTCTGATTGGCTGAAACTAAAGTCTCAATAACTTTCTTGTTTTTTCGACGAAATCTTATGAAATTTTGAATATAGCCATGCATTAAGATATCCTACAACATGATATATAGCAGTTATCATGAAAACATGTGCATTCATGTGCGCTGCAATCTGATTGGCTTAAACTTTAAATAGCTATAACTCCCTTGGTTTTCAACCAAACAGGATGGGATTTGGAACATAGATAGATATAATGGACTTCTACAAGAAGGTATGGTCACCATGCACATGCATACACGTGCGTGTGCGTGCGCTGTCATCTGATTGGCTGAATTTTTAAACAGCTATAACTCCCTTGGTTTTCAACCAAACGGGCTGGGATTTAGAACATAGATAGAAGTAATGGACTTCTACAAGAAGATATGGTCAATATGCTCATGTATGCACGTGCGTGCAAGTGAAATGAGTTAAATCAAAAATACACTTGAATGAGCGAATTTTTTAATACTTTTGGATTAAATACTTTAATATTTAGTATATTAAAAGATATAGTTTGTGTAGACAAGATGATATGGTCATTACGCACATGCATTCACATGCGCACGCGTGCAATGCTAAAATTTGAATGAACTTGGCGTTCTTAAAGTCTCAAATGCATAGATTCTGTCCTATTTAATGAAGCTTACAGGGAATATGGCACCAAAAGGGAGTTGGGGAGCGTTTGGGGAACATCTGTAACGGTCCCCGTTACAATTAGCACTAGTTTTATGTGAAATGCTATCGCAATACATGTATACTGGTATAAGTGATAGTAATGATATTTTACAGGATATTTGAAAAAATATTAACTTCAAATCTGTGTTGAAACACCTTTAATAATGCACAATTTCACCATTTGAAAGAATAAACAAACAGTGATCAAAAATGTAATAATGACTGAAGCATAGAATATTTGATTAAATACTTTTATTACTAATTACAAAATGATGTTTTTATAGGTAACTGGTTACATAATTCACTAGAGTTTGAAGTTATGATAACCATGCAGAGTAGAGATGTTGTAACAAAGACATGCCTGCATGAAGAAGACAGTTCACTCAATTTTTCAGTATAATGTGTCAGATTTAAATTCATCTTATGTAGGACAAAACAATCAGAACATTCTGCTGGATCACAGCTAGTAAGTGTTTATATGAATGAAAAAGATTTTACTCTTCCTACGTATACTTCAGATTGGAACCTGAAAACGACAATTTACCAAATATGTATTTTTAATATGTAAGCAATTCATCTTAATATGATGAGCATATCTGAATTTTTAATGTATCTTCAAATTTCATTTTGCACAAATTTAAAAGTATTTTTTACGCACTGAAATCTTTATGACGAATTAAAATGTTTTATCATTACTTTTTTCAGACACAAAGTACATATTGACAAAACCAAAGATTACCTGGTAGTTTGCCAATGGAATGATCACTAGATGATCTAGACAACACCTTTTTCCTCAGAAATTTTAGGAAAGAGACTTGATCGCCATCTTCATTCATCTTCATGACTTCTATTTCTCATGTCTTTTCAACAACATAGACTCCACACTCAAGCATCAGTGGGCGCTGAGCTTTTATAAACATTTATTCCTATAAAAAATAATTAAACAACAATGAAAACAGTTCAAACAAACTGGTTTATCCTTTAATCTACAGATGTTTTATGTTTGAAGCAATTTATGATTTTAAAGACTTATTTATTTAAAATCTGTTAAGGTACTTGGATAATAAGATTCTAGTAAAATTATTTTATATATATAAAATCTGTCTTTTTTTCTTAAATGAAGGATATGGAAATAACGAACAGTATTCAATCTCAACGTCCATTAAAAAATATACAAAATAGGAGCAGAGCAAACACGGACCTCCAAAACATCAGAGGTGGGATCAGGTGCCATGGAGGAGTGAGCATCCCCTGCCGACCGGTCACACCCACCGTGTGCTCATTGTATTAATCAGGAAATAACGGAAAAAAATCTGTCGTCAATTCAGTGTATAAATAATGGACTAACAATTGGTATGAAAAACGTCAGTCAGCATTTCATTCAATGATAAATTGTATTTGCTGACAAGGTCATTGTATCGACCATAGAATTTACGAAATAATGACTTTAAACGAGACTGTTGATATTTTTGTTTCCTCAACTTGCTTGTTAATAATTTACCTCGTTCAAGAAATTGTTCATACGTAGAGCTTGCTCTTGCGTATCGAATCAACTGAGATATATATACTCCGTATGCAGTGGATGAAGGTATATTGCTGCATAAGTAAGGGAAGTTGACGATAGAAAAGTTAAAGTTATCACGTTTATCATATTAGCTTGGTTGTTAGATTACCATTAGTGTCTTTTTAAAGTAAAATATCCAAGTATGAAGCAGAAGTGTCGGACTCTGTGGTATTAAAATATAAATTTTTTTCTTAATTCACACAAATTAAACATATTTGATTTGAAAAAGAGGGCGAGCCTAGACCGTCCCTTGGCAATGGCCCAGACAGAGATATCTCAGCCCTGATGGCGAGACAGCCCTACTTCCTATATGCAGCCTCGCCTAGTCCAAACAGGGCTGATACACTACTGATATATTATAGGAATATACATGTTTGTTCATTAGGGATTTTCCAATGAATAAACATACTTTAAAAATTTACAAATACTTGATAAAAAAGAACTCTGCTGGGACTGAAAACCAAACTTAAGACATCAGCATTATTTCATACCTTATAAAATATATCTGCAGGTACCTATGGCTAAATATTTATTTGTATTTTACACAGACATGTTTGTGCTTTCCCATCTTGTGTCTTCAGTCTTCACCAGGTGGCTATTCAGTATCCTACAATAAAATTCTTGTTCTGAAAACTCATCATTTATGTAATCTCACCACTGTTAAATTGTTTAAGAAAAAAAAAACTTTCATAAATATCCTTTACACTTGTGTTATACACTTTTATTTTGTGTGTATAGGAATATTTTAATTTTTGGTATTCTGTTATATTTGTGGTAAACAAAAATGTATATCCTGGGTCTGAATTTACCTAACACAGGAAGTTTTGGAAGGGCAAGGTCAACATTCATTGGTGACGTAGTTTGATACAGACAACAAATGTTGTTCTGCACTGGGATTTAAAATAAAATATCAACGAAGGATTTATGTGTTTAAATCGTTGGATGTATAACAAAGTCAGGAAATCTGTGGCATGTGCATGTAAGGACATCACATGTTCACATAGAAACGATATGATGTTTATTTTGACCGTGTGTTACACTTTACAACAAACTATGGGTTGAATTTTTATGGAGAGTTATTGAGAAACGGAAAGGTAAGACAGCAATTTTTAATAAAAATCTAAATACTACTGTAGACTAGTGATAAAAGCAGTCATTCAGGGTTTTTTTTAGGGGTCGTAGGGGGCCTGTATAAGGCCCCATTCCCAATGGTAAAAAGTATGTGTTTTTCCCAATTTCATTGAAGAAAATTCCCAAAAGAGAATCGAAACAAACAAACCGGTTAAAAAATGTTCAAACGCAGTAACATTTTTATCAAAAGTGCTGTTCCAAATAAAAATCTAAAAGGCATTCTCCCAAAACTGATTGACTGAATGCAAAATAAGTCAAAAAAATACTTTGCAAATAAAACAAAACCCCTCTTATTTCAATTTATATAGAAAAATATTAAATATGATACTTTTCCCAATATCAACCAAATGTTGCTATTTTTCCCAATTAGAAAGGCCCAGGCCCTTGTTTTTAAGACCTAGAAAAAACCCTGTCATTTCACTCGAGCAAAATTTGCAGTAACCTAGTCTCAATTATTTTAGCAAGGTGAAGATTGCAATTTATCCAAGCCTGTAATGTATGAATTGAGTCATACCTCTTTGCTTCATGCAGTGTATAACCGTTTAATGAATCTTTGATCCCTTCAGTCTCAGTCTGGGTAATCGTATGAATAAGTTTTGTTGAAGACGTAATTTCTTGCAGTACAAATAGGCTATATTTGGCAATCTCGGGCGTTATAGGTTATTTGGACGTCGATAACCATAGAGCACTCCCGAACGTGTGTGACGTCATTTCCTTACTGACGGCAATGTACGGAAAATTACGAACAATGGATGATCCCCTTCCGAAGCGGTGGCCATTTTGACAATGTTAAATCCCCGTAGACTTTGAATTTGCCGCTGTGTGTATACACTGGTTGACCTCGAGGGTTCGGATAAATGCAGGAAGTTTGGAAAAAAATCAATCTAACAATCGGACATAGGTTGAAGTCCAAGGTATTTATTTATTTTGATATATTTTGCAAAAAGTAGTGGCGCTCCGGTCGTGGGACAGACTATAGACTGTCTTTACGTACCCTGATTACAGTATGTCCCGTTGTATTGTTAGGCTGGCTTTATGTACCCTGATTACAGTATGTCCTGTTGTATTGTTAGACTGTCTTTACATACCCTGATAACAGTATGTCCTGTTGTATTGTTAGACTGTCTTTACATACCCTGATTACAGTATGTCCAGTTGTATTGTTAGACTGACTTTACATACCCTGATTACAGTATGTCCTGCTCTATTGTTAGGCTGGCTTTACATACCTTGATTACAGTATGTCCAGTTGTATTGTTAGACTGACTTTACATACCCTGATTACAGTATGTCCTGTTGTATTTTTAGTCAGATTACAGTATGTCCCGTTGTATTGTTACCCTGACTTTACATACCCTGATTACAGTATGTCCTGTTGTATTGTTAGGCTGTCTTTACGTACCCTGATTACAGCATGTCCCGTTGTATAGTTAGGCTGGCTTTACGTACCCTGATAACAGTATGTCACGTTGTATTGTTAGACTGTCTTTACGTACCCTGTTTACAGTATGTCACGTTGTATAGTTAGTCAGATTACAGTATGTCCCATTGTATTGTTAGGCTGTCTTTACGTACCCTGATTACTGTATATCCCATTGTATTGTTAGGCTGGCTTTAAGTACCCTGATAACAGTATGTCACGTTGTATAGTTAGGCTGACTTTACGTACCCTGTTTACAGTATGTCACGTTGTATAGGTAGTCAGATTACAGTATGTCCTGTTGTATTGTTAGACTGTCTTTACGTACCCTGATTACAGTATGTCCTGTTGTATTGATAGACTGACTTTACGTACCCTGATTACAGTATGTTCTGTTGTTTTGTTAGACTGTCTTTACATACCCTGATTACAGTATGTCCCGTTGTATTGTTAGGCTGTCTTTACGTACCCTGATTACAGTATGTCCTGTTGTATTGTTAGGCTGTCTTTACGTACCCTGATTACAGTATGTCCCGTTGTATTGTTAGGCTGACTTTACGTACCCTGATTACAGTATGTCCCGTTGTATTGTTAGGCTGGCTTTACGTACCCTGATTACAGTATGTCCCGTTGTATTCTTAGGCTGACTTTACGTACCCTGTTTACAGAATGTCCTGTTGTATTGTTAGGCTGACTTTACGTACCCTGTTTACAGTATGTCACGTTGTATAGTTAGTCAGATTACAGTACGTCCCTTTGTATTGTTAGGCTGACTTTACGTACCCTGTTTACAGTATGTCACATTGTATTGTTAGGCTGTCTTTACATACCCTGATTACAGTATGTCCCATTGTATTGTTAGGCTGGCTTTACATACCCTGATTACAGTATGTCCCGTTGTATTGTTAGGCTGACTTTACGTACCCTGATTACAGTATGTCCTGTTGTATTGTTAGGCTGACTTTACGTACCCTGATTACAGTATGTGGCGTTGTATTGTTAGGCTAACTTTACATACCCTGATTACAGTATGTGGCGTTGTATTGTTAGGCTGTCTTTACATACCCTGATTACAGTATGTCCCGTTGTATTGTTAGGCTGGCTTTACGTACCCTGATTACAGTATGTGGCATTGTATTGTTAGGCTGTCTTTACGTACCCCGATTACAGTATGTGGCGTTGTATTGTTAGGCTAACTTTACGTACCCTGATTACAGTATGTCCCGTTGTATTGTTAGGCTGTCTTTACATACCCTGATTACAGTATGTTCTGTTGTATTGTTACGCTGTCTTTACGTACCCTGATTACAGTATGTCACGTTGTATAGTTAGGCTGACTTTACGTACCCTGATTACAGTATGTCCTGTTGTATATTTAGGCTGATTACAGTATGTCCCGTTGTATTGTTAGGCTGACTTTACGTACCCTGATTACAGTATGTCCCGTTGTATTGTTATCCTGGCTTTACGTAACCTGATTACAGTATGTCCCGTTGTATTGTTAGACTGTCTTTACGTACCCTGATTACAGTATGTCCTGTTGTATTGTTACCCTGGCTTTACATACCCTGATTACAGTATGTCCCGTTGTATTGTTAGACTGTCTTTACGTACCCTGATTATAGTATATCCCTTTGTATCATTAGACTGACTTTACGTACCCTGATTACAATACGTCCCGTTGTATCCCGGGTCACAGTCACACACACCTGTCTCCCTGTCACAGTTACCATGGGAACCACATAAGCACCTCTGAGCACAGGACACACCCCACATCCCACTGGGACAATCTAAACACATGATACATTGTAATACAACAGAAATTTACTTCTGTATAGATGAGCTCTACATCGTGACAAGGTGTGTCTGTACTTACGTTGGTCACACTTTTGTCCCGTGTATCCTGGGCGACACTGACAAGCGCCATCTACAGGACTACAGGTCAGCATTCCCCTGACGTCACACACATCACGACACACACTCTCACAGCCGGCGCCGAACGACAGGCTCGGACAGGACTTCTTACATTCATCTGGTCATACATACAACACGCACCAGGATTATACAGTTTAATAATACAAGTTTTGTTTTAAGATATTGCTTTATAGATATATTTGGAAAAAAGCAAGTTTACAAATGACTACTTACAGATTCCTTTTATAAAGAAACTAATTTGAACCTAAGTCACCAGTCAGCTAAGACACATTTATTTTAGTCTTCAACAATTATATAATGTATTTTTTTATATAAAGCGTTACCTCTGGTAAACCTGGGCTGACAGATTCACTTTCCTTATACATGTATATATCTATATAAAGCGTTACCTCCAGTAAACCTGGGCTGACAGATACACTTTCCTGTGTTGACATCACAGCCCTCCGACAGGGGGCCACACGTACAGTTCAGGGTACAGCCCGGGCCATATCTTCCCTTGGGACACTGGAGATAAGAAGTTTAAATGTTCACATGGAGAGTTAAAGTGGCAACAAGTAAGATCCATATATTAAAGAATCAATATTACTTACCCTCTGAGCACAGTCAGATCCCATGAATCCCGTGGGACACAGACAGGTTCCATTGACATTGTTACATTCTCCACCATTCTGACAACTTTTAAATAAAAAAATATAAATGTGAACAAAGTAGAAACAGAGACATAATTCTAAAATCTTACATACAATTGCACACAGTGTGACATATTTTGTCTTTATTTTTTTCCCGAATGATCTGTGCTCAAGATAGTTTCAAATTACAAAACAAATTCATTTTAAATACGTTCAAAAATTATTTCATCTTTGTGAATGTTTATTTCACAAATAAAATAAAGAGATCCTTAATAAAATAAGAGTAAACAATCCTTATGTACCTGCAGTTCTGTTTACATCCGTTGCCATAGGTACCTGTGGGGCATGGCTGCTGACAGAAAAACCCCTGGTAACCTGGTAAACAATGACATTGACCAGAGACTGGGTCACAGGTGTCGCTATGGACACACTGGTCACAGCCATAGATACAGCCTGGGCCATAGGTCAGCTTCTGTAAAATTAATAGAGTTAACCTGAATAATTAGGTCACAGCCATAGATACAGCCCGGACCGTAGGTCAGCTTCTGTAAAATTAATAGAGATAACCTGAATAATTATGTCACAGTGATAGATACAGCCAGGGCCGTAGGTCAGCTTCTGTAAAATTAATAGAGTTAACCTGAATAATTAGGTCACAGTGATAGATACAGCCTGGGCCGTAGGTCAGCTTCTGTAAAATTAATAGAGTTAACCTGAATAATTAGGTCACAGTGATAGATACAGCCCGGGCCATAGTTCAGCTTCTGTAAAATTAATAGAGTAAATCTGCATAATTAGGTCACAGTGATAGATACAGCCAAGGTCATAGGTCAGCTTCTGTAAAATTAAAACTGTAACAGTCCAACCTTAATATAAGGTTACAGTGATAGATCTATACAACACTGGTCATAGAACAGTTTTTACCAATCAATACACTCAAATTTAAATATTCAGTGATAAATACATTTAGTTTGCTTCTAAAATGTCAATATATTTCGTACTTTAATACTTCACTGGTCTCACATGAGACTTTAGTTCTACTAGTTTGAATTCATAATAGTTGCATAGCTAATTAAACCAGAAGTCTCTGTCGAGAGGCTCTACTGGTTTGTACGTGTAGCAAAGGAAGAGAAAAGTACTTAAGCAGTTGGGAATTGAATGTTTACAACAGCAATAAATGAAATAATAATCCTTGATAAAGTCTCTTTATGTTCGTAGTGTAGTCTACTTGTCTGCCAAGTTATATTGAAATCAGACCAAAACTGTAAGAGGAGAAGCATTTTAAAAGAATTTCACAGAAATATCTATTTTTAGTAACCACGGCAACACCGTTCATCGAAATCAAAACTGATAAAGATCATTATGTATCTTAGTGTAGTCTACTTGTGTGCCAAGTTATTTTGAAATCAGACCAAAACTAAAGAATGAGGAGCAGAATTTTGAAAGAAATTTCACAGAAATTTCTAATTTTAGTAACCACAGAAAACACCTTTCATCGAAATCAAAAACTGATACACAGAATTATGTATCTTAACTTTTCATTTCAGGTTACATACCTATCTGTATTACCTGACATTTCTGGTTACAGTCAAGTCCAAAGAACCCAGCATCACATAAACAGATGTCATTGTTAAAATGACAGCGACCATGGTAACAGTTACTGCAAGCGGGTTTACAGGATAAAGCTATAAATAAATTTACAGCATAAAGCTATAAATAGATGTACAAGATAAGGTTATAAATAGATTTACAGGATAAATTAATTTTGGATGTCCCTTCATATGGTTCTTCCGAGTTTATCCAAATAGCAATAGTTTCAGTGTGCTAAGATTCAAAACTTTTTTTAAAGGAAAAATTTTACGGTAAACATTTATAACAAACAGACAAACATACATCAAAATAAAACTTACTTGAGACGGTAACTCCTCCAAGGGCTGGCGTATCTGTAAACAGTGAAAAAAAAAACATTAAGAGAAAATTATACTTCAAAAGAAAGCAACATACCTGTGTACAATTTTGCTGACAAGTATAAACAAGAGGCTCAGGGGCCACAGCGCTCACCTGAGCTCATCAGGCTTGAATTTACTCCCCCCCCCCACCCCCCCCCCACCCCCTGGCGTTCATCATTTGAACAAACTAGAATCTACACTACCTGAGGATGATTCCATATAAATATCACTAATCATAGCTTTGAAGTACTTGAAAAGAAGATTTTAAAAGGTTTTAAAAGGTTTCCCTATATATCACTATCTGAAACATTTTGGCCCCACCCTTGCCCAGGGGTCATGATTTGAACAAACTTGTATCTACACCACCTGTGGATGATTCCACATGAGTTTCATCTTTCCTGGCCCAGTGGTTCTGGAGAAGAAGATTTTTAAAGATTTTTCCTATATCTTCCTATGTAAAATTTGGGTCAGCCATTTTGGCCCCATCCTTGACCCAGGCGTCATGATTTGAACAAACTTGAATCTACACTACCTGAGGATGATTCCACATGAGTTTCATCTTTCCTGGACTAGTGGTTCTGGAGAAGAAGATTTTAAAAGATTTTTCCTATATATTCCTATGTAAAACTTGGGTCTGCCATTTTGGCCCCAACCTTGCCCCCGGGGGTCATGTTTTGAACAAACTTGAATTTACACTTCCTGAGGATGATTCCACATGAGTTTCATCTTTTCTGGTCCAGTGGTTCTCAGGAGAAGAAGATTTTTTTAACATATTTCCTATATATTCCTTTGTAAAACTTGGGTCGGCAATTTTGGCCCCACCCTTGCCCTTAGGGTCATGATTTGAACAAATGTGAATCTACACTACCTGAGGATGATTCCACATGAGTTTCATCTTTCCTGGCCCAGTGGTTCTGGAGAAGAAGATTTTAAAAGATTTTTCCTATATATTCCTATGTAAAATTTGGGTCAGCCATTTTGGCCCCATCCTTGACCCAGGCGTCATGATTTGAACAAACTTGAATCTACACTACCTGAGTATGATTCCATATGAGTTTCATCTTTCCTGGCCCAGTGGTTCTGGAGAAGAAGATTTTAAAAGATTTTTCCTATATATTCCTATGTAAAACTTGGGTCTGCCATTTTGGCCCCAACCTTGCCCCCGGGGGTCATGTTTTGAACAAACTTGAATTTACACTTCCTGAGGATGATTCCACATGAGTTTCATCTTTTCTGGTCCAGTGGTTCTCAGGAGAAGAAGATTTTTTTAACATATTTCCTATATATTCCTTTGTAAAACTTGGGTCGGCAATTTTGGCCCCACCCTTGCCCTTAGGGTCATGATTTGAACAAATGTGAATCTACACTACCTGAGGATGATTCCACATGAGTTTCATCTTTCCTGGCCCAGTGGTTCTGGAGAAGAAGATTTTAAAAGATTTTTCCTATATATTCCTATGTAAAATTTGGGTCAGCCATTTTGGCCCCATCCTTGACCCAGGCGTCATGATTTGAACAAACTTGAATCTACACTACCTGAGTATGATTCCATATGAGTTTCATCTTTCCTGGCCCAGTGGTTCTGGAGAAGAAGATTTTAAAAGATTTTTCCTATATATTCCTATGTAAAACTTGGGTCTGCCATTTTGGCCCCAACCTTGCCCCCGGGGGTCATGTTTTGAACAAACTTGAATTTACACTACCTGAGGATGATTCCATATGAGTTTCATTTTTCCTGGCCCAGTGGTTCTGGAGAAGAAGATTTCAAAAGATTTTTCCTATATATTCCTATGTAAAACTTGGGTCTGCCATTTTGGCCCCAACCTTGCCCCGGGGGTCATGTTTTGAACAAACTTGAATCTACACTACCTGAGGATGATTCCACATGAGTTTCATCTTTCCTGGCCCAGTGGTTCTGGAGAAGAAGATTTTAAAAGATTTTTCTTATATATTCCTATGTAAAACTTGGGTCGGCCATTTTGGCCCCAACCTTGCCCCGGGGGTCATGTTTTGAACAAACTTGAATCTACACTACCTGAGGATGATTCCATATAAGTTTCATTTTTCCTGGCCCAGTGGTTCTGGAGAAGAAGATTTTTAAAGATTTTTCTTATATATTCCTATGTAAAACTTGGGTCTGCCATTTTGGCCTACGGCTCAGGTGAGCCAAAATGTTTTACTTTCTAGCTTACATGAGCAAATTCTGCAAATGTTCTCAAAAACAACAAAGTCACAATATATTCGTATTGATATGGAATCATCCACAGGCAGTGTAGATTGAAGTTTGTTAAATCATGACCCCCTCTACCCACGGTAAGATGGCAGATACTGAGTATCTTTAAAATTCCGTTCAAGATCAGCAAAGCCATGATTAGTTTAATTAATATATTGAGTTAATGATCAACTCCTGTAGATCGGTCACACCAGCTTTCTGTCCTTTATGTTTGAGTAAACTGGAAAATCCGTAGACAATTTGTGTGTGATTAATAGTCAAACTATTGGTATAAAAACGTCATGGGATTCACAGCACAAGATGTTTACTCCCCCTGTGTACCTGATCCCAGCATGGGATATTTAGGGTCCGTGATTTATATACAAATCCTGTCCAAAGATTTTTGATTGGTAAGTTTTAGTTATCTTTACTTTTTTATGTGGAAGCCTTGTTTCTGATACCAAATCCTGTAAAAGAATGTCCTCACTCCTTTTTTTTTCATTTTCCTATGTCTAAGTTCACAATGAATTATAATATCTGATCATATTTGTCCATAATGAATGTTTGTTGATTCCACTGCCATCGGCCGTAGTCTTGAAGCTCACAGATCTTGAAAATATTTTGATGGAAAACTTTTAGGATTGTTAATCCGAATATCTTTAGATTAATCAGCTAGTTATTCTGCCAAGGAGAAATTTTTCAAGAAAATTGAATTGCTTTATTTTAAAGCAACATGAGCTGCTTTTTTAAAATCTTATTTTGCTGTTGAAATGTGCTGTTATGATCAATTTGTATGTAACTTAAACCTTTATGATCATTTCGACAAAAATAAAGCAGAAGAAAGACTTCTATATACAATGCAGTATACAGTTTTACAGAAGAAATTAATTTTGTACAGGATGACAATAATGTAATTTTGACTAAATCGAGGATTGTAAATAGTTCTTCCATCGCAAATATGAACAACAGTAGTTTATAAATGTTATTTGTTTCTGTCTTTGAAATAGTTATTTACAAAGTTTGCAACAAAAAAAAATCCAACATCAAAGTTGCAGCTCATATTGCTTTAAATTTGTGTGAAACTTCCCAATTTCATCGTTTGTCTCTGTAAGTGGGGTCTTAATTGTATATGCAGCAAGATTTTAAAGATTTTCCTTTCAGAAAATTTAATCCCCATTTTGCCCCCAGTAGTATAAGCATTCTAGCTAGTGCGGAAGTGACGTCATAACCGGAAGTGGGCTAACCGGAAGTGGACGGAAGTGGGCTAGCCGGAAGCGGAAGTGGCCGGAAGTGGTCTAGCGGAAGTGGGCCCTAGCGGAAGTGGGCTAGCCGGAAGCTGACTGGATGACCGGGTCAACTGAGTGCAGTTCTAACCCTAACCCCCTATCCCTAACTAGCCCTAACTAACCCTAACCCCCTAACCCCTAACCCTAACTAACCCTATCCCCTACCCCCCTAACCCTAACCCTAACCCTAACTAACCCTATCCCCTAACCTATCCCTAAATACAGGGTGTGTTTACACTATACGTAAGTACTACGTTTTGTTTATGCTGACTACACAGGTAATACTTGGCAGCGATTCAAGTCAGGGGGGCCCGTGTGCAAAAAAAAAAAAAAATATGCTGACTACACAGGTAAATACTTGGCAGCGAGCCAAGTTTGTTTAGAGCCGTGTGCAAAAAATATGCTGACTACACAGGTAAATACTTGGCAGCGAGCCAAGTTTGTTTAGAGCCGTGTGCAAAAAAAAAATATGCTGACTGCACAGGTAAAT